CCCAACACGTCTCTGATAGGAACATAGGGTTGTCTTCCTTGGGCCTCGAGGGTATTCAAAAGTCGCTCTCTGGCGGCGTCATTATCCGTACATTGCCAAACTGCGTGATCGATGTCATCGTAACCGTTTCCACACCGACAGATGTTGCTGTCCACGAGGTTTATTCTATTGAGATGCGCATCTAGCGAGTAGTGGTTGGACATAAGTCTACTCATCACGCGAATGAAGTCACGACTTAAGTCCAAGTCTTTAAACCACGCTCTCGAAGGAATAATTGAATGTAACCATCGTCCAAGATTCCCACTGTACCAATCGGTTTGCCAACTCGAAAGGGTACTCTGACGCACTAAATTGTAAAATTCATCGTGTGAAATTTGCCTGTCATAAAATTCGCCTTCCTGCGCGCCCACCTTTGCGAGAGAGTCCGCCTTCTCATTGCCTGGGATTGAGCAATGTGAGGGGACCCATACAAAAGTAATCATATATGATCTTTCGACCAGCACACTCATCTGCCCCCTTACCTTTGAAAGGAAATAAGATGAGTGCCTACCTTGTTTCATCGACCGAATAGCCTCGATCGAACTGAGACTATCCGAGAAGATGAAGTAATGGTCTGCGGGCATGTTGGAAATCATCCCCAATGCGAAGTTGATTGCTGCCAGCTCAGCAACAAAAACGGAACAAGGTTCCTGGAGTTTGCGGAAGGCGCTAGAGTTTTCATTGAAGACACCGAAGCCAGTGGATCCAGTGAGACGAGACCTGTCTGTAAAATATCTGTTTACGCAATTGACGTGTTGGTACTTTTCAGTAAAAATACGCGGGATTATAATAGGTCGAAGTTGATCGGGAATCCCATGAGTTGCTTGTTTCATTGTCAGATCATACTCAATTGAGGAACTGCGATTGGTGAAGTGAGCACGGTCTGGAGAGTAACAAGCAGAAAGAGCCGTACTCTAGAACGGAGAGAATAGTTGTTTTATAAAGCGTTATGAGGTCTCCCGGATGAGCACCCCATTTTTGACATTTTTGCTTCAAATACGTAATATGGGCATTCCAAGTGCACTTTGAATCAAACCAGACCCCAAGGTACTTGAAAGACAATGATTGAGTAATGTTTCTGCCCAAAAGATTAAGATGCATTTGGGCTGGGTACCGCTTTCGAGTAAACACTACCAGTTCAGTTTTCTGCGGCGAGAACTCGATCCCTAGATTCATAGCCCAAGAAGACAAAAGAGATTTTGTCCTTGCAAGTCCACGGCATGTGGACCTCTTACGGAAACCACACCGTCATCTGCAAGTTGTCTTAGCGTGCATTGTTCTGCCAAACAGTTGTCGATATCTTTGACATAAAAGTTATAAAGAAGAGGGCTGAGACATGAGCTTTGGGGCAGGCCCATGTAGCTAATTCAGGAAATTGTCAGTTGTCCAAGGGAAAAGTTCATTTGCTTTTCTGACAGCAAATTGTACAAGAAATTATTTAAAATTCCAGAAAGTCCACATCTGTGCAGATTGTCTGACAGAATTTCAATGGAAACTGAATCAAAAGCCCCCTTAATGTCCAATAATACTGAAGCCAATTGCTCCTTGTGCGCAAAGGCCAGTTGAATATCTGTGGAAAGCAGCGCTAGACAATCGTTTGTTCCTTTGCTCTTGTGGAACCCAAACTGTGTATTTGATAGCAAGTTATTTGCTTCGACCCACTGATCGAGTCTCCGAAGGATCATTTTCGCCAACAATTTCCTAATGCACGAAAGCATCGCAATCGGACGATATGAGTTATGGTCAGCCGCTGGTTTGCCAGGTTTTCGAATGGCTATTACTTTGACCTGTCTCCATTCAGGCGGTATAATGTTGTTTTCTAGTAAGGAATTGAATAAGTCTAGCAAGCGTCTTTTAGCGATATCTGTTAGATTTTTCAGAAGATTGAATTTAATCATATCGCTTCCCGGTGAGGAGTTGTTGGATGAAAGAAGAGTCATAGAGGCATGAAGCTCAGAGTTCATCCAGGGTGAGAGTAAAGTTGGGTTTATACAGGGCAAGTCAATTGATCAAGTCAGTTGAATTCAACTGACTTGAACGCGAATTGAACGTGTAAACCATGCCATTCAACTCGCTTGATCAACTCACTTGAATTGAAAAAAGTTGAACCAGGCTCAACTTTTCAAGCCAATTGAATTCAACTGAGTAGATCATTTGACTTGCCTAGTCTAAACCCAGCTTAAGAGCGTGTGAAAGAAAACATAAATATGAATGGCACCGGAACCTCACTCTCGTTTTATTCCCTTTCGTTCACAAGTTGTGAGGCTCGGTGAGTGGTAGAATGATTTGTGAGTAGCACTTCTACTCCTCATAAAAAAAATGCTACGTTCGACTCATTTCAGACTCGCGAGTGAGGCTCCATCAAGGCTGGTTTGAACCACCTTGTTTTATCGCCAAGACCATCAGTTTATAGCCTTCTGTGCGACCAGCTAAAATAAGTAAGTTAATATAAGTACCCTGCTTTGTAAATAGGGTAAAAATCAATCATGAAGTAAAATTATTGACTGCTTAAGCTGAGTGTGAAAGCACTGCTCTTTTCCAAACGGTAATGTACCAAACGGTAAAGGACGAGGCAATGAAATAATGTACGCTCAGTCATTCAAAACGAAAATTGGGTACCATCACGGAAGAATAAACGAGCTGACTGAACTACTGACTGAGTGCTCTGCTGTCACTGACTCGTTTACTTCCCAATCATTCAGATTCTCACGAGGCAGTGAATGATGAGGCGGATGGCTGTTCATATTCATATGAAAATTACTCATTGAACCTGACTGTTTTGCGCACTGATCAGCAATCACATTTCAAGGATTATTTGCAAGGGAACAAATTTACGTCTATTTAACGGCCAAATATTTATTATCCTCAATATTTAATTACCATGCAAGTTTTGCAATTGTTATTAGGTCATTAATTTTTTAAAGTGTTGTTGCTAATTGAGTATAAACAAAGAGATTTTGGACGTAGGACTACGTCTGTGATTTCTATATGGGGGTACACTTTGTGAAAACCGAAAATGGAACATGTAACAAAATTATGATAGATTTTGAACGTTAATAGCTCAGCTGCCGTTGGATCAATTTCAATAATGTTATCACCAATCGATCAGAAAAGCAATTTCCCTAACACAGATTTCAAAGTTGAATTCCATCCGGTCTCACCAAACGGTGTTTATTCAATCACCGCGTTGTGAGTGGTGGTGTTCTCCAGTTCACAACTAAAGGCTGCCTCAAGCAGTGAACTGCAGCCCACATGAGAATCCATAGAAGGAGGAAGAAGCTGCACCGCTATTGATAGGAATCACTATATCTTCGTGAGTCGCTGAGGGCCATCTATGGCAAGCGCGTAACCCTCATTCAAAACAACATATAGCTCACCAGCCTCATCTGTGTTTAACGCCCTAATAGCTCAGCATTACTCAACCATCACGACCACAATAAATTTATAAAAGAGGTTTTTTAGGACATCAATTGGATGTCAGTTCCCATATCAAGATAGAGGTAGAATTAGGGCGTAAAAGCTTTTGTAAACAATGACTCTTTCGATGATTTCTTGTAAGTCAAGGCTCGTCCACGCAAATCAACATCATCATCAGGTAGGATAAGACTTCCTCTACCCGACGGCAATTTTATTTTGGGTGTATCTTGAATTCCTAAAAATCATCGAGAGAAGTCATTGTTTACAAAAACTATTACAACTAATTCCAGCTCTGTCTAGATATGTTTAAATCTAACATACCACGTACTTTAAGGCAACATTGGGGGTGCAATTTCAAAAACCAAAGTCGGTCGCTGCATGAAAGTGGTCTGATTTTGATCCAGAAATGATGGATTTTAATTCCTAATACGCCAATCGATATGAATTTTGCACGAATGTGGAACTATTGCTATGATATTTATAATTATCACCGATTGCTTGCGAAAAGCGGTTTAAAAGTTAAATTCCATCCGGTCTCACCAAACGGTGTTTATTCAATCACCGCGTGGTGCGTGGTGGTGTTCTCCAGTACACAACGAAAGGCTGCCTGCAAGCAACGAGCTGCAGCCCACATGAGCATCCACAGAAGGAGAAAGAAGCCACAACGCTGTTGATCGGAATCAGTAGCTCTTCGTGAGTTGCTGTGGGCCATCTATGTCAAGTTTGTCACACTAAAGAGTATAAACAGAGAGAACTCCGCTCAAATTCCTATTCCTACACAAAACAAAAGCTTCTGCTGCAGTTAACAAATAAGATTTATTATATAAGATCAAGTAGTCCTACGTCACCATTACGTACAACCCCATAGGGCTGTCCATTGTAGTTTTTTTATAATGGAATAAATTTCGCTGAAACCACGTCACTAATTACAAAAGGTTATCATGCTCACTTACTTAGTTATCCTGCGTCCGTCAGTAAAAGAACTGTGTTTAGTTTGGCAAACCTTATTCCTCTCGTTCTTGGGATCCACAAAATTGGCGTCAAGTCCCAGTTGGAACATATACCTATATCAAAGAAAAAAATAAGAGGCTAAACCTGCCAAATGTGTTCCTGCCATCCAGCATATTCTAATTAAGCCTGCCCGACACAAACAAATATAGATAAATCTTCCCAATCGCATATGCATGCTGCCATAAAACCCCATAAAATGTTTATAACCATAAACTGCACTAAAAATCTACAAATCGTACAAGCCACCTGATCCGATCATTAGAAGACAACGCAACGGTCGTCGGGTCATTATAGTCGTGAAATTTTTCCTCAAATCAGCAAACGATCAAAACACCCCACAAGAATAACGAACCGGTTTCAGGAGAAGAACAAAAATCATAATCCACATACATTATTATACCCCGTCCAAATGCGTTTGATCCGCGGAGAACGGCACCTGTTGCCAATTGAAAATGACTTCACTGTTGTTCGAACGGATCTTTCTCGGAAAGTCATATTCTTATTCTCCGATCTTCTTTTTCTTTATTAATCAGCTCCTAGTGGTCAGCATGTGTGGCTTCCTGGGGATAACGCTCGCCGCCAAAATAAAAATCCCGTCGAAGAATCGTAACGATGATCTCTTCTCCGAAGACGAGTTCACGTTCCCGGTGGAGGACAACAAGGACCCGTCGAACTTCACCGGCGACGTAATGAAGGCTGGCATTCTGATGGCTGAGGTTAGGAACCAGGGCAAGGGCAAGTTCAAATATGCGTGAGTATTATGCATTGTAGCAAGCGAATGATGTGAGAGGTTAATGGGGTCAAATTCGTAGGGTTGAAACGGCGAACGGAATCGAGATCGAGCAGATCGGTAAGCTGAGGGACGACAACAAGACCTTTGTAGTGATGGGATCCTACACTTACACGGGCGCAAATGGAAAGCGATACCGCGTGCGATACACCGCTGACGAGTTCGGTTACCATCCAATCACCGAACTTGACATAGATATTCCAGAGTAGGTTTTTTTTTCTCCGGAAATCTAGTTCTTCTTGGGAGCAATCTAACTGAAATCTTCTCTCTACAGACCCAACGCAGCAGCACCCGCACCGATTCAACCGTTCAAATTCACGACAAGGGCGACGACGACGACGACAACTACGACGACTACGACCACAACTCCGGCACCTACCGAGCATCCGGGCTACCACTATGAACGGCCTTCGAATGCCTATCTGCCGGCAGCCAATACCTATCTGCCACCGTCCAATGAGTACCTGCCACCAAAGAACGTCAACGAACCCCCGCAAGAGCAGCTCCCTCCACTGTTTAGTCCACAGTTCCAGGGTCAGAACGCTCTCTAATGGAACCTCAATCTGACATTATGTACAATAGGAATCGAATCTAGGTAATTATCAATGTGACGCCAACCGCACTCCGAGCACCTTCCAATCCCACAGATTAGAAACAGTATTTTCTTTTATAGTTTTGTTTCGAATTTCAGTTGTCAGCTTCCTATGCTGATGCGCACGTGTAAATAATTTTATGATTTGTAAAATAAGTTATTTATAATTTCTAAATAGATGAATACTGCTATAATAGTTGAGGTGGGTTGCTTACTTACGTTGATTGGATGACAGTCCTCCTGCAGGCGGCGCAGTTTGCGAGTTGGGAAAGTAGTCGTTGCTTCGATATCTGGAAATAGATTAATATTATCAACACATCAAAACTCAGTGGCCATGTTGAAAAAAAAAGGCTTTACGATACAGATTTCAAAATTTTACACGGTGAGGTATGGGATTGAAATTTTAAAATGCTTCTATTTCTGAATTAAAGCTTTTCATGATTTTTCGATGATTCTGATAAAATGCTACTCAATAGACGTGTTACATAAAATATTTTTTTTTAATATTTTATGAAGGTGGATCTCTTAGATTTCAACTTTTTATCCCCCACAGACACTCATTATTAATTAAAGGTACTTCATTCGAAAAATATAAGCGTATTAAATCTTATCTCGTATACCTTCCAGTGCAAAATTTTGAAATCTGCATCATCAAGCCTTTTTTCTCAAGTTATCGGTATAAGAGGCCTACACTAGACTGATGCAAAATTTGAAATTTTCGCTCCACAGTGCTCAAACGGTTCCAAATTGGACCCTGATTAGCCTCCTAAAATTTGAACTCATTTAGTTAGAAACTGACTTGGCACAAACCATTTGAAGTTTGTATGGGAATTACTATGGAGAAACCATAATTTCGGTTCATATCTATCTCAAAATTCACCAGTTCACTCTACTTTAGAAAATGATAGCTGAGCTTGTTGAAAATTTTCTCAGCTACAACTTTGTTGAAGACCACTTTTCGATTAAATGTAAAGAACAAAAATTATTAATGATTCAAGTCACTGATGTCTTATGATTATGCTCAATCAATTGTTCAGCAGGCAACATTGGTGTTTATGGTGCGTAGAATAGAGGACAAAAATCATGGCTACTATGACACACTACATAATACAGTGTTGCCTACAATACAGTTGCTTAATCTTGCCATAAGATTATCAATCTCTTAAACAATTAATAACTATTTATAGTTGTAGCTGATAAAAATTCCCACAAGAATAGCAATGGATATTGTTAACAGTACAATATGTTAAAAAAGTAGAAGACTATGAACAAAACAGTTTTGTTTTCCCATGGTAATTTCCATAAAGGGTGATACGGTCAAAATTTGGTCAATATCAACTTGACGTATGTCTTTCAATTTTGCATTTAAAAAACCTGAACACCCCTCATTTTGAAGGTGTGTGTGTGTAGAATGTTGCTCCTATTTTGATTTTGGAATTCACTCTACAGTTGTCAAAATGCCGTCCAAGCAAGAAGAGCAGCGTATCAAAATTTTGCTCGCGCATCGCGAAAATCCGAGCTACTCGCACGCAAAGTTGGCAAAATCGCTAAAAGTTGCCAAATCAACCGTTACAAATGTAATTAAAGTGTTTGGAGAACGTTTGTCGACAGCCAGGAAGTCTGGATCGGGGGGAAATCGAAAACCGGAAGCCGCTGAGACGACAAAGAGAGTTGCCGGTAGTTTCAAGCGAAACCCTAACCTCTCTCTCCGAGATGCCGCAAATAAGCTGGGTGTATCGTCTACAACCGTGCATCGAGCCAAAAAACGAGCCGGACTATCGACTTACAAGAAGGTAGTGACTCCAAATCGCGATGATAAACAAAATACGACGGCCAAAGCGCGATCCCGGAGGCTGTACACGACGATGCTGACGAAGTTTGACTGCGTGGTAATGGACGACGAAACCTACGTCAAAGCCGACTACAAGCAGCTTCCGGGACAGGAGTTTTATACGGCAAAAGGAAGGGGAAAGGTAGCAGATGTATTCAAGCACATGAAACTGTCAAAGTTCGCAAAGAAATATCTGGTTTGGCAAGCCATCTGTACCTGTGGCTTGAAAAGCAGCATTTTCATAGCTTCCGGGACTGTCAACCAAGAAATTTACGTGAAAGAGTGTTTGAATAAACGTCTGCTGCCTTTCCTGAAGAAACACGGTTGTTCCGTACTGTTTTGGCCGGATTTGGCATCTTGCCATTACGGTAAAAAGGCCATGGAGTGGTACGCCGCCAACAACGTGCAGGTGGTTCCCAAGGACAAGAACCCTCCCAACACGCAAGAGCTCCGCCCAATTGAGAAATACTGGGCTATTGTCAAGCGGAACCTAAAGAAGACCAAAAAAACTGCTAAGGGCGAGCAGCAGTTCAAGGCAAACTGGCTTTCTGCGGCGAAGAAGGTGGACAAGGTGGCTGTACAAAATCTGATGGCAGGGGTCAAGCGTAAGGCCCGGCAATTCGGATTTGGAAAAGCGGAAGCCTAACTGAATATTTTTCCTGAATTTTATACTAATTGAACTTGAAAAAGAAATTTAATTTGATTTTTTAAATAAACGATTTCACCGATTTACACGCGTTTTCCCTTGACCAAATTTTGACCGTATCACACTTTATAAACTTCAAATGGTTTGTGCCAAGTCAGTTTCTTATCATATGAGTTTAAACCTTCGGAGGCTAATCAGGACGCGATTTGAAACCGTTTGAACACTGTGGAGTGAAAACTTAAAATTTTGCATCAGTCTAGCCTACACTGTACCAAAACGTCATCCTCTGTTCGAATGAAACCTCAGACCATTCAAACCGAAACATCGAAATCGCTTCTTCGAATGATAGTTGCAACCGGATGATGGTTGTTTTGTAATTAGATGATGACCCGCTCAAATGAGAAGCGAACGGAACTCAGTTGACATACGTAATACTCTCTGTAGAATGATTGTCATCCCAAATTGAAATGCACATGCTATTGGTACAGCCCCATAACGCAAATCACCCACTCAAATCATTTGTTGATCTAAGCTGAGGTGGTACGAACATTGGTAAGGTGTGGAAACCGAAGATTGTTTATTTTTTGATGGAGGAAGTTTCCTCTACCAATAAACGATTTTTGTTTTTTTTATGCTATTCGCAACAGGACGTCAAAATCATCATCGACGACATGAACACTCAGGTAGGACGGGAGGCAATGTACAGTCCGGAAATTGGGCCAAACAGCCTGCATGCCGTATTGAACGACAACGGCCAACGATGCGTGAACTTTGCAGCCTTCCGTAGGATGGTAGTTCAAAGTACTTTTTTCCTACGCAAGGATATGCATCAAGCCACCTGGAGGCCCCGTAACGTGGGTAGATCACCTTTTCGTGGTACGTTACGGGATGTAAGATCTACCACCGATTCCTAGTCTTGACTACTTCAAACTAGGGGAACAGGATTTTACAGTAATCAAAGGAACACATCTTAGTCCTTGTTACTTTTTATGCCTTGTTGATAGTGATAAGTCCTCGGGTTGCGTGGACCGAGGATGATCTTGAAACAAGGAAAAAATGAGTTAGTTAGTCTTCACCTATGTGATTCCTAATCTTCTATTCGTTGTTTCCTAGTTTGAAGTGGTTAAGACTAGGGTTCTGATGCATGGTCATTATCGGTGTCATGTCTTGTTTTTTTTGCTAAGGAATCCAATTTTGACTGACAAAGGGGCGCGCCTTTGGAGGGTGTTTCAACATTCCGAAGGGTATAAATAGCGGGACCTTTCAATTAGAATCGATTCCTTGCGATAAAGGCAAGAATGACAACTGTATCAAAACCGAATACTTCATCATTTCTCAATAGTGATGGAGTAATACGACATGCACTAAACTAAGGACACGGGATATACTACAATAGATCAAATTACTGGTCGCAGTGGTTTTATGTACCGAACAGAGGAAAAAAAAAGCCACCTGGAGATCACCTGACCAACACACAGAAAAACAAATCGATCATGTTCTAATCGTCGGAAAATTCTTCTCCGACATTATCAACGTCCGCACGTACCGCACTTCAAGCATAGATTCGAACCAGTACTTAGTTCCAGTAGACATGCGCTCAAAACTCTCGACGGTGCATAATACCCGTCGAAGTCGAATGCCGCGAGCCAACATTGAGCAATTACGGGACGCCGGAGTTTCCCAGGATTACGCGCAGCAGCTGGAAGCTGCACTACCGACGGAAGAGCAGCTTGGCGCAGCTACTCTGAAGATGGCTGGAGGGACATCCGTTCCGCCATAGCTAGTACTGCTGCAGCGGCACTAGGTACTGCGATCCCGGACCGAAGAAATGACTGGTTTGACGGCGAATGGAAACTGTTAGTAGAGGAGAAGAATGCTGGATTGAATGTGGAGCGATACAGGCAAGCGAGGAATAGACAAAACTCGGTTTTTCGAAAGAAGAAGCGTCAGCAGGAAGACCGAGAAGGCGATGGAAAATCTGTGCCGCCTGAACGACACACGGATGTTCTACGAGAAGCTAAATAGTTCGCACAATGGCTACGTGCCGCAAGTCGATATGTGCAATGACTTGGACGGTAACCTTGTCACGAATTGGTTGAGAGGTGGAAGCAGTACTATGACGAGTACCTCAACGGCAATGCAGCAAAAAACGAAGGTGGCACGGCAACAAACCTTGGAGCACGCGCAGAAGACGACAGGCTACTGAAGAACAACAAAGCAACTGGTGAAGATCAACTACCAAGTGAGCTATTAAAATATGGTGGTTAAGCACTGGCTAGAGCGCTGCTGCTGCACTGGGTAATTGCCAAGATTTTAGGAGTAGATATTACCGGAGGAGTGGATGGAAGGTGTCGTATACCCAATCTATAAAAAGGGCGACAAGTTGGATTGCTGCAACTACCGCGCGATCACACTGCTGAGCGCCGCCTACAAGGTACTCTCCCAAATTCTATGCAGCCGCCTGTCACCATTTGCAAGAGAGTTCGTGGGGCAATACCAGGCGGGATTCATGGGTGCCCGCGCTACCACGGACCAAATATTCGCGATTCTGGAGGTTCTGCAGAAATATCGCCAATACAACGTGCCCACACATTATTTGTTCATCGATTTAAAATCCGCATCGATCGAGATCAGCTATGGCAGATTTTGCACGAGTGCGGATTTCCGGATAACCTGACGCGATTGGTCAAGGCGACGATGGATCAAGTGATGTGTGT